AATGTATTATGGAATTTGAGTCTTGATTTCAGTGCTTTGTAATCAAGACCCTGCTCTGTTCTGCGCTTGCTGCAGTGTGGGCAGCGGGCTGAGTGTCTGAAGTTAGTCCTGTTTTTCACCTGTAGAGCTGGGAAATAGTTTTCGACAGGGATGCAGAGCAACCCTTAGTGTTTGTTTTGAAGGCACTGGTTTATTTTTTGAGGTGAGAGGACACAAATGAACCTGCAGGTGTCTGCAGAATAGCTAAGTGCTTTGCAGATTGCAAGCTAGATCTTGTCTTTTTTTTTTTTTTTTTTGTTTTTTTTTTCCTGAATTTTTCTAATTCTGAGAGGCCAGAAACTTCTCTATATGAGTATATGAGACAGGCAGCTTCAGATAGGTGCAACTGGCATGCTGAGTTTAAAACATATCAGCTCTGCTGGGAAGTCCYAGCCACCTGACTCACTCCTCACTGGCCAAGAGGAGCCACTGACCAGGCCAGGATGCACAGGCTCTGCTGGCTCCTTGCAACTTTCCTTGCTGGCTTTCCTCCCAAGCCAAGCAAGGCTGGTTGAACTTCTCATCAACAAACAGCCCAAGTCCTTCTCAGGGCTGCTCCSAATCCATTCTTCACCCAGCCTCTGCTTGTACTCATTAATGATGAACTCTAATACATGCACGTACAAGAGACTGTGGCTAAGCCTTATGCTCAAAATCCCCAGAACATTAGCAAGTTTTATATTCTGAGGAGATTCCAATCTTTGACTTCAGTTGAGTTGTGTCTCAGTGAAAATGCTAGAGCTAAACATCCCTAAAGCATTGGAGGCCTTTGAGTCTGAGCAGRTTGGCTGCTGTTGATTTCATAAAGCTAGGTTGTATTTTCAGAGGGGTGTTAAGTTTTCACTGTCCCTACAAGGAACAGAAACAAAACCACGTTTCKTTGACTGCTTATGTATTTATTTCTCATTATAGCTGGAGCTATTATTGTTGAAATAAGTTGTCTGCTTAGATGTGGAATGAGAAAATGCAAGGTTTGTTTAGGTTAGGACAAAAGTATTCACTTAGTAAGCTTGTGTGTTTAGCAATATTGATCTTGAGCAAATTGCTTCATCTGCTCTTCCTTGCCTGCTCTGCATGCTGCTATTGCAGTAGCAAAACCAAAGCAATCTGTGCTGTGCTACTGACCTGCCAAAACCTGTAGCTGCTGTGCTGGCAGGTGAATGCTGGTGGAGGGGGTTGGTTTTGAAGTGCCTGTGCTGGCAGGGGGAGCTGCGCTTCCGAAGCCCCTGTGGGCAGGGAGGCATTCAAACCTGAGCTGGGTTTGGCCTTGCATTGCTGTCTGTGCTGCTCTTAGCACAGGGGAAGGAGAGGGAAATGGGCACCATAGTGGCATGGTGAGTTCCTGGTTATCAGTCACATTCAGAGTCAGCCCAAAGCCCGGGGTAAAAACTTGGTGGTGCTGACTCCTACAAGAAAGGGTTGAACTCTGTGTTTACACTAGTTTTGCTGGTGCTTGCAYAGGCAGCAGCTGATCCTGTGCCACATAATCACTGCCCAGGAATATTCCTTTTTCAATGACAGGCTCTCACCCAGAGCCTCAGCCTGTGCATAGTGACATGTGGCTGTGTGGGATGTGTTTGAATGGCTCCTGGGGCTGGGTGCAATTCCTGCAGAGCAGCTGATAGGAGGCAAGGCCTTTCAGTCAAAGAGTGGCTCTGTGAAGGAACTCAAAATGTTCTTTCTCCTGTTATTTTCCTTTGTTGCCTCAATTTCCCTGGCAGGGCTCTAGAACATGGCACACTCGTGGTTGCAGCGAYTCTGCCAGCACTCTGATCACATTGCCTGATGCAGGACAACTTGGTAAAAGTGTGTTTGTGCTGGAGCAAGGGACTTGTGCRTGCAAATTGGCTGTCCCAAAAGTAACTGCAGGGCCCTGGAAGAACAGGACTTTTTGTTGTGAGTTCCACAGATCAAACAACAAACACAACTAATACATAAATAGAAAAAGGGGTTACTGGTTGAAGTGGCAGGTTTATCACATCTGTGCAATGATGGGGCCAGCAGTGGCCAGTCCAGTGAGTGTACAGTGCTAACCCAGTATTTCATAAGCCAACTTCAGGCAGGACTGACTCCGTGCTGCTCAGTATTCAGCAAACRTGAATTCAGCAGTGGGAAGCAGGCTGGCTCACGGCTGGGCACCTTGTGCTGGTACTGCTGTGTCTCTGGGCTGCTGTGGAGTGTCAGGGGCTCGGCACCTTCCGGGGGTCCCACTGCCCACCACCCGTGCTCTGTCCACTGTGGGCACTGGGGCGGSCTGGGGGAGGAGGCAGCTGTGCTGGGACGTGACGGAGGGGTGAGCCACCCTTCGTGGGTGGCCCGAGGGGCATCACCCATCACCCCGAGAGGCGATGTCAGGAGGAGCCATCACTTCTGAGAGGTGGTCCGGGCGGGTGACCCTCCGCATCCCGCCGGGAGAAACGTGGCACACTGCTCCCGGGGAGAACAGGGCGAGGGGGCCGGCCGGATGCGCACCCCCAGAGCCGGCGGGGCCGCAGCGGCGGTGCGGTGGTGCGATGGTGCGCGGTGCCGCGCGGTGCGGGGGGCGTGCCGCGGCGGGGGCGGCCCCGCTCCTCCCCCGGCGGCCGCGGCGGCGGCTTTAGGCGGCGGGGCGGCCGGGCCGGGCCGTGCTGGGATGCCGTCGGGGGCCGCGGTGCTGGCGCTGGCCGCGTTGCTTTGCGCCGTTCCGCCGCGCGGTCCCCGCGGGGCGGCGGCGGCGGCAGCGGCGTGGACGGCCTGGCTGAACGTGTCGTGGGAGAACGGCGCGGACCGCAACCGGAGCGGCTGGGAGGCGGGCGAGAGCGGCCTGTACGGGCTGGACTCGCCGCTGCAGTCGGCCGAGGGGCTGCTGGTGCTGCCCGACAGCCCCGACGCCTTCAATGCCTGCAGCACGCTCACCAACTTCAGCGGGGCCCCGGCGGCCGGTGGTTCCCCGGGCTGGCTCGCCCTCATCCAGCGCGGCGGCGGCTGCTCCTTCGCCGACAAGATCCGCCTGGCCGCCGAGCGCGGCGCCGCCGCCGCCGTCATCTACAACTACCGCGGCACCGGCAACGAGGTGCTGCCCATGTCCCACCACGGTGAGCGCCGGGGAACGGGGGGTTCGCAAACAGAGGGGTCCCCGCGCTGGGAGCGGCCTCTTTCCTCCCTCCSTTCCGTCGGCGGGTGCGGGAACGGGGCACGGCCAGGGCGCAGTCCCCTCCGCACATCCCCGGCGCGGCTTCGCGGTAACAGCCGGGAATGTCGCTGCCTCTCCCGCACCACGGGAGTTTCTGCCCGGACTGGCCGGTGCTGTTTCGGGCGCTGCAGTTGTTGTTTTTTCTCTGATTAATGAGTAACCGTGTCTGAAATCCACGACTGCTGCTGGGGCTGGGGACCARTGTGCGGGGCTCTGGCTGTAGGTGTGCGGGGGTGATGGTCTCCACTTGGTTTGGGTTTCTGGCCTGAGCCTGTAGTCGCCAGAGGTGATGGATGCTGAGKTTTTTAAAACCTGTTAAGACTGGAGTTGATTTGGGCCATGAAATAGGCTGGGTTTCTGTGCTCAGACACTGTTTCTCCCTATGCCCTGCACACTAACCAACTCAGAAATAGGCAAAGGACGAGACTCTTCCGTAGGTAACTTTTCAGCAGCAAAATGCCACTTCCAATGCAATTTGCTGGAGGTCTCTAAAGGCTGCTTTCCAGTTTGCACAGGCTGATGACAGAACTCCTCTTRATACAGAAAGTCTCCTACTTACCATAAGGTTTTTCTTGACCTGCYCATCTTTCCAATGAAGAATGAGATCTGGCTGTATTTTAGGCTAATATTGCCCTTGACCTGGGCTGAAAGCTGTGTAAGTGCCTTCGGGTGACAGGACAAGCAGGCAGGCCCTGTGTGTGACAGGGTGAGTGGCTGTGGCAGCTCCATCCAGCTGTTGGATGGATGCGCACCCTCTGCGGTGTGTTGGAATTCTGTGAAGTGGCACTGCTTTGGGAAGCCCCATTTTCTGGAGATAAATTGAACAGTGAAAATGAATAGTGTGTCTTAAAACTCTGAGTGATTTGAAAAATAACTATATCCCTGCAGCACCCCTCTCAGAAGGGGTGGAGAGGATTTCTGTTAGCAGTGGAGGCAAGTGTCCTGGTGAGACAAGAAAACAGTAGCTGCCTCTGGAGGTTTGTTGTGTGCAATCTTAATGAGCTGTAGGACTGTTGGTACTCTGCTTTAAGAATTCAAAACATACAGTCTGGATAGGCTTTGGCCTTTCTGAGGCAAGGCTTTCTTATGTAATCAAATCATCAGCTGACAAATGCTATTGAGATCTGGCTATTGCTGGGCGAGTTCCTCCTGCTGAACTGACAGAGCATCCCTGCCCTGAGCCCYGTTCTTCTGAGCCTGCCTGATCCTGCAGCTCTTGAAGGAGCTCCCTTGGCACTGCTGGCCTGGGTAGGTCACTGCTGAACCTGTTCTTGAGGGGAAGGGCCATGTGCTCCTGCCCCTCCTCCATCCTGGCTGCTGGGAGACTTACAGCATCTTAACCTTGCTGGGAGCAGCCTCTCRAAACGAGCCATGTATTCTCTGCAGGGTTTGCTCCAAGAGGAGCTCCCTCCTTTCCCATGCTGTCCTTTAAGCTTTCTGCTGAGGCATTTACGTCAGAGTGGCTCTAGCTGTCCTGATTATCCTGCATGATAGCATGGATACTCCAGGGCATGTTGAAACTTCCCAGCTGAACTGCAGACAAATAGGACAGGGACTCCTTGGAGAAGACAGCTTCTGTCAAACCACTTATTTAAACTACCTGACTCCTCCTTGCTGTGTCGTAGCACAATTACTGGGCTAAGCTTGTTGCTGCTGTTGCTTTTATTGCTTGTCCTTGTTCTAGTTCCTCACTTTATTTCCCATTCCCTTTTTTTCTCTGGACTTGAGTTCTTCTAATATCATTGCATTTGTCTGAGGGTCCCTGTTCTCGGCTCTTCCCGCGGCGATGCTCTTCCWTCTGCTCATGGAGTTTTGGTGACATGCTGTGCTTGGGCCATCCCCACCTTCTGCCCCCACTGGGAGCCAGGGCTCTCCAGTCAAACTCAACAAAGATTGCAGGCAGTGGATGTGACATGGCCAAGATGGAGCAAGCTGCAAGTCATCAGCCTCACTGGGTTTGCCAGGTGTAGAATATTCCCTGTGTGATGCTGATGTGCTCAGCCTGCAGCACTGCCCCTCACACTTAGGAGGTAAGAGCTGGCCATAGTGCTCTTTGCTGAGCTTTGCTTTGGGATGGCTCCCCTCTCCTGGCCTCATTGGCAGCACTGGGTGCTCTAACTCTCCYGGAGCAGTGGGGAAGGTGACCCTGCTCACTGATAAACGGGCTTTGTGCAATTGCAACTCGCACCAGCTGTAACGGCTGTAGCTGCGCTCATGGTGACTTCGCAATCTGGGTTTCCGATTTGGCTTCATTTCTGCTGGAACTGGGACCATTGAATGAAACCAAATAGGGCCAAGCACTTCCTCCAAGCTGAGGCAGTGGGAAGCAGCAGGAAATGGCTTTTTTGGGGTGAGGAGGAACTAAGCCAACAGTACTGAGGACTCTCCTCTCGACTGTGGGGGATAGAACTGTCATCTGCCTGGCAGAGAAGGAAGATCTCTGTGGGTGGGCTTTGATAAAATGTATGGCACAACACACTTTTATTCAAAGAATTTAGCCACAAAACACAAAGTTATTAACAGGAGCTTATTTAAAAGTGCAGTGTGCCTTTTTCTGAGCATTCAAACTTGGCTTTTGAAACAGCTTTCTTGTTTAGAAACTTAAATGAGCCTGTATTTGCAGCAGTGTTTGTCCTAGTCTTCCTGTTTCCAGAGACTTTTTTTCTTATAATCGTCATGTTTAGTCTAATGAATTTTTTTTTGCATCAGTGCTCCATATAACCTTTTGGTGTACCAACTTTAAAAAAAACAAAAGAAAACAGAAAAACCAAAGCAAAAACAACCCAACAAAAGCAAACCACTCTGGCAATTAGAACAACAGAATGTCGTGAATAGCCACATCAGATATGATCAAATCCTGCCTAATCGTCTTTAACATGTAGAATGTCAAGAATCTGATGGTGTCCAAAGTAAAATTTGCTTTGTGATTTATAAGCACAAGTCCATATCAGTTAGCAAACTTGAGTTTTAACTGCTCACATTTTAAGATGSTACCGCTCTGTGTCAGGCTGAGCAGGGTTTCAAAGTACAGTTCTGTGTGCTCATAATTGCACCTCTCTGTAATCTCTATTGACCTTCTGAAAAAGACATTTGATTGGAGAAAACCAGCAGCATGTGGGTAAAAAGTGCAGGGCAAGAGTTGGTTTGTTTTAAAGGTGGACCTTGCCTTAAGGTAGAACAGGCTGGTAGGTGGCTTTGGCTTGAGGGCATGGTGGTGCCCGTGGGAAGTGTTCTTTGGTGTTCAGTATTTCCTTGCAGCTGGTGAAGAAGGATTCTTTGCAGGTCAGAAGGCAACTGTGATAATTTTCTTTGGTTTGTCTCTTGTGGTGTAACTCTAGACTTGAGAAGAACATCACCTGATCGGCACAGGGCTCACTGGGGGAAACACAGCTAAATGATTCCGGCTCAAGCAGTAACAGCRTGTCTCAGGCTAACAGGATCTGGTTCAAGTGTAAACTTGCATCAGTGGGTGAAAGGGGAAGGAAAGGTTAAATATGTAGCACTCTGCTACTTAACTTGTTCTGCAGGAATTTCACTGAGGTGGAGGCTTAYCTCCATGTGCTTAGAGAAAACAGTGTATGGCAGAAGTGTCTGGTTGTGCTCCACTCCAGCTTTTTTTGTGAGGTAGGATCCTCAGAAACAAGCTAAAACTTTGCAAGGGTATTAAAAGGCTGATGTGATCTGTAAAACTATTAAAGATTGAGTCAGAATTGTAATCCTAAAACAGGCTGTGCTGAGGCTTTGTGAGCCTTGTGTAAACAAATAGTGCACCTCTCTTTGCAATGAGGGAACACTGAGGACATCTGAGGAGAGGAATGAGGATGCAGGATCTAATTAATGACATTTGCTCTCTCATGTTCCTTGGCCATGGCCAGATGAGCCTCTGCAGATTATTTAGCCTTTCCTACCACAGTTCCTTGTAGAGAAGGACCTTGCATGCATTCACTGTGCTTGCATGATATTTGCAGTCTGTGGTGTCTGGAGTTTGTAGCTCTTTACATCTGCGAAGAGCTTTTTGATGAGTATGTACTGCAACTTTGTCTTTACGTGGTCAAACTTAGTTTGGTTCTCCTGGCTGCATGAGTAAATTAATTTCACAGCTGTAGTGGCATTCAGAGAAGCGACTATGACATATGAGTCTGGCTGGGCAATGCCCTCCAAGCAAGCAGGAGGGCTTTGAGAAGCTGGGTAAGACTTAGTGGTGYTACTGACATCTTCTGATCCCTGTCCTTGCTCTTTATGATACAATTTAGGTGCCTCTGTGCCATGGAAAACTGCAGGGTAGGCATCATCCCTTAGATAGCCTGAAATGGGTCTGTGAAGTGCCCTTGCTCTTTGGGTTTACTGGGCTGCTGAAATGTGAAAGATGAATTAAAATCCTAAGTGACAGCTGTGGTGGCAAAGGCTTCATTGTGAGGGACACCATGTCCCTAAAACAATGACAGTGCTTGTTTGCCTCCAGTTGTGAATGTGCTGCTGAGCACACAGCAGTCAGCTCAGCACAGCTCCCTGCTGTGTCCAGTGTGAGCTGTCATCTCTCCACAGACAGATGCTTTCTGGCTGACGCTGTGCCCACTTACATCATTTCACCATGAGCTTTCTCAAACTCGCTGCTTCCCAGTGAGCACTTAGCTGCCACCAGCATGTGGAGAGCAAGGGATGTTAGGRGTGAGCTCAGCCTCGTACAGAGGGTCAGCTTTGTATTTACTGAATCAAAACTGCTGAAAACTTGAATAAACTCACCAAGGAATTCTCATTAGGGCATGTTGCTTGCTGTTTCTCCAGGGGGTTTTAGATGCTGTTTGCTGGATTGAAAGGTGGTACTTCAGTCTCGCAGATGCACTGAGCAAAYAGCATGTGAAGAGAGAACTGTCTTACAGATTTCATTAATTTCTGTGCCCTTGTCCTGGCTGCTRTTTTAAAGGATGTTTTCATGTTATAAATGTTCTAAGATAGATGGGACGGGAGGGTTTATGTAAGTTTTTTAAGGCTCAGAAGGGGGAAAGGGCTGTTGAAGTTCAACAAAGGTCCTGCACTTGGGGAGGAATAACCCTGGCTCCCAGTACAGGCTGGAACAGACTGCCCAGGGAGGTTGTGGAGTCTCTCACTGGAGATATTCAAAACCTGTGTGAATGTGATCCTGTGCAGCCTGCYCTGGGTGAACCTGCTTTAGCAGGAGGTTGGACTAGGTGATCTCCTGAAGTACTCTCCCACCCCAGCCATTCCGTGATTCTGTGTGAATGTTTGCCCCTGTATGCTGGAAGGCTTGTGTGTTTAGGAGGAAGAGCTCAGACACAGTGCCATCTGTCAAGTAAAGCAAGCTGAAAGTAGATTTAATTAAGCTTAGGTGACWGTGTGAGGAAAAAGGCAGTTCAGTCAAACCATTTAGATCATAAGGGGCTGTTGCTTTAAATAACTGTAAAATAACCTGGGTGTGAATTATTCCTTTTTCTGGTGCCAGGTAATTTTTGGGGTGGAGAACATGCAAAGCAGGGGAAGAAGAAGGAACAAGCCTACTGACATCAGCTTATCCAGGCTTAAATTGCTCCTGAACTGTGAGTTCAATCACCCTCCCCTCTTGCAAAGGGGAGAGTTTATGGCAGAGCAGTAAAGGCATTTCCTCTGAGTGTCTGGGATGGAAGGATGATTGTGGGGATGGGCACATTCCTGATGAGATTTTGCCTTGTGCATGTGGATGACAGCAATCAGCACTGATTTTTTATCCACACCACGAATGAGAGCAGAGCTGGCCTGCAGGGTCTGGTTTCATGGTGTCTGAAGGCAGGGAGAGCCCTTGTGTCCCCAGAGTGCTGTGGTGCTGAGACTGGATGGCTTTTGTGTGCAGTGCTGGCCTGTCATCTGAGGTGAATTACGTCATGGTGATAATACCAGCTCAGTCTGTGTACACTGTTAGTTTATTTTTCCTCCTACTGTAACAGATAGCAGTAAACTTGTACCAGCCTGTTTGATWACCACCAGAAATCCCATTTCTTACTATTCAGTACAGTGAGATAAGCAATATTCAAGACGTATCTTTTTTTTTTAAACATGAAAGATAGGCTATCAGATACTCCTCTTACATGCCTGAGGAGCCAGGTGTGYTAATGTGGTAGGAAATGGTTGGAGTGTCAACTGACAATGTTTTTCACATTAAAAARTGGAGATTGCTTGATCTCCTAATGCCCTTTTGCTGATGGTGGGGTTGGAGGAGTGCCAGGGGAATACTTYTAGATCCTTTGACTAAGGCTTAAAGCACAGCTAGTACTGATCTTTGCTGTAAGCACCATATCTTGYAGATAAAAGCAATGAGCCAGGCACCAAGGCTAGAGTTGCATTTCATCTCCTGAAAGAGCCTTCAGCTAGCATTTCTGCTGTGTTTAAGGAGAGCCTGTCCATTCTTTGAAAATTCAAACTCCCAAGTTTGCTTTTTCGTTTTGATTTTTTTTTTTTTAATATACATGAAACATTCAAAATCAAAAGTAATTTCTCCTTGTGTGCCCAGTGTGTTGTGTCCCAGCTCTTCCCTGCTCCAACAAACCACTGGGATTCTCATGCTTCATATGTGCAGACCCATTTCCTTCAGATTTTGACCAGCTGCTGCCTTACAATTTGGGAGGTGCCCAAAGAGGCAGGTTGTGTTTTTCTAAAGAGTTGAATAATTTTCCCTCTCCAGTTTGACAGGAAATGGGAAAGAGGCTGGGAAATGTTTAACTGAACAGGAGTTGCTTCTCTTTAGCAATGAGCCCATTATTAGCTAAACAGGCAGCAGATTAATTTCACCTTCTAGTGTCCCTTAAAAACTATTCCAGAAGTTTTACCTGAACCACAAAAGCTGACACCKGGGTGAAGAACTTGGGTTTCTGTGAGGTTTTTGCCATGCACAATTAACTGACTTCTTGCTTTGCTGTGTCTGGGTGGGGAAAAACTGACAGTTGAGAGCAGCTGCTGTGCTGGGGACACCTGTGCTGATGTCCCCTCAGATGCCTTGGTTCCTGTGTGGTGGCCAAGCCCTGGCAGCAGCCTCWGGGTTGGTGGTTTCAAGGCCACCATAACATGTTTCAGTACCTGTCATGATGGGACCCAAGCAACAGCTCAGGAAGCATTGGATGGGGGTGATCCTCGTGCTTTTGCTCCAGAAGCACAGCAGTTGTCCCAAACATGTGCTGATGGAAGCAGCCCCTCACTTCTGCCCTGGTTGTGCCAGTGTCAGAGCCACCAGCTAGCCACTCGCATGTGTTCATCTAAAGMAGAGATGAAATTGCAACAGAAATTTCTGGGGGTGGGAAACGTCTGTGAGAATTAAAGCTGTTGTCTGATGGCATCCCTGCGAACTGAGCAATCTGAAACTCAAGTGGAAGATTTTTTTTTTTTTCTTTAAGGGTAAAACTTGTTCACAGTGGATGGCTTAGTAGCTGGAATGATTTTGCAGGSTGATGGTGACATTTCATTAACAGGAATCCCCATACTGTGTCTTGTGTTGTGCTAACCACAAGATAGATTTACTGTGAGACATGCAGGAGTAAAGGGGAGTAAAACAGAGCAAACATTTTGCCCTTTTTTTCTGGCAGGCTTTTTATTTTCTCATTGCAGCCTGTTCTTCCACACTTTCTTCCATGCTTATGAAAGCAAGTTGCAGCTTCTGACTTGACCYGTGCTTGATTCTTTGCTTGCTGCTAACACCTGACTCCAGCTCATTTATTAAGCCCCAGTTCATTGTAAGGAACAGTAGTTGCAGTCTGGGAGATTTTTTTTTTCCTCTTCTCTGTGTGATGTCCTTGTCTTTACAAGGAGCTTTCTGAATAAAAGATGAGTTTGGTCCCACTGAGGAGAGTTGCTTGCTGTGTTGAATCACAAACATTACGTGAACAAGCTGGAAAACTAATAAACACTTTCTCCAGTGACAGCCTTTGTGGTTTAATAACAATCCTATTTTTTTTTTTTTTTTAGTATCTGAAAGTTTAATAACTTTCAGTGGAGGGAAATAACTTGAATAACTTGGCAGAGGGAAAAACAATTGGTCTTCCCATTAAAGAGTGTTTGGCTGGGGGGTTAGCTAAAAATAGCACATTGTAACAGTCTTTGTTCATCCCCCATGCAATGTCTATTATGAATGTTGTGCTGGTGATGGTTTAATGCAGTGAGATTCCTGATCATCTGGTCTGAAGTCTGCTTTTCTTATATTAAGTTTAGAGAGAAACCAGTGATAATTTACTCATTACCCTTTCTCCCTTCCCCTGCCTCAAAAGCCTCTCTGTTATACTGGGACTTTCTAAAGTTTTCACAAATAATGTCAAGTGTCCTCAAGCCCTGACATGTCACTGAAGGGGAACCAGTTTGCTSTGGTCTGTGCACAGTGACTGGAATTGTTTGAAATTTCCTCCTACTATAAACCCCTTGGTTCTTTTGACTTGCCATGGTGTTCTACTGAGCCAATAAAACCTGTTGTTAAAATCAGAATGGCGTTTGCCATCTTGCCCCCAACTGTTTAAAAGTAGAGGACACCTCCCTCCATTTTTGCATCCCACTGAATTTGCAGTAGAAACTCACAAAASCAATTTGAGTTCACAGTGAAATTTCCCTTAATCACTTCTCAATTGATGCTGAAAATACAGAAGCAAAGGCTGATCTATGACTTTGCTCAGTGTCTGGTGAAGTACTCAAAAGTACTGTCAAATTTAGAAATGAGGTGTTAAGAAGTAGCAATGGAGCAGGGAGGGAGTTGGATCCATTGCAGGAAGTAATCCCTATACAGATATCACAGTCCCCAGTGACCTCACTCTGTAGAGGATTTATTTTTAACTTCATATAGTTCAAAGGCATGTTAAAATGTAAATCACGAAGTGTTGTGCTTAAAATAGGACAGTCTGTGTCCTATATAGGAGTGAGGAGTGCTGTGGAGACAAATGAATTCTAAACATAGTTCACTTGTGCAGCTCATAGGTAATGGGACATACTTTCAGCTGGACAAACAGAGTGATGACACTTGTTCCAACAGTTCATATTGAATCTACAAATACTAGTTACTGTCTACAAATACAGTCTTTTCTTTAGCACTTGAAGCAGCACATCTAAGACAATGGTGCCAATAGAACACCTGGGAACTGAGCATGGATTCCCCTCCTCCTTTGCAGGTGCTGAAAAGATCGTTGCAATTATGATCGGCAACCTGAAAGGCATGGAAATCCTGCGGCGGATTCAGAGCGGCATGAAAGTCACCATGGTCATCGAAGTGGGCAAAAAGCGCAGTCTGTCCATGAATATCTTCACCATCCTCTTCATCTCCGTGTCATTTTTTGTTGTGGCAGCAGCAACTTTGGGCTGCTATGTCTCTTACTCTGCTCGGAGACTCATTGTTGCAAGGGCCCAGTCCAGGGAGCAGGTGAGTTTGTGCCATTGCCTTTTTATACCCTCATGCCTCCATGGTGTGAATCTTGAGGTTTGCAGTCTTTAGTTAAGTACCAAAGTGACCGAATTTGTTTGTTTGATCTTTAAAATGCTAAGAGATACATCTTTGCACAGCTTAAAACTTTCCTAAAGAAAAGCCAGAAGTACACTGTGTGGAGAAAAGTTGATTGTGTTCAGCTAACTGTGTCTCCTRCAAATACTCCCTGAACTGCAGTGCAGCCACAATGCTGATGAACGGGAGGCTGTGAGAGAGCTAAAGTACTTTTAGCTGACCCTCATCCTTCCCTCACACTTTGCCTACATGCTTGCTGTGACAGGAGACACAACTGGAAGCGTGTCTGCAAAATGGGGCACTGCTTTGGCTGCAGGTTGGGAGGTGCTGCTTGTTGAAAGCTGCTTTCTGACTGAAAGCTTTCTGAGAATTACAGTGACAGTCTCAATTAGCGCTGGAAGTACTGGAAGTTGKCATCAGTCTGTGAGATAGAGCACTGCCACTCCTGGGTGAGACATGGAGATGTCTCTGTAACCTGATGCTCTCCTGTTGCTGACATTTGTGGACAGAGATGCACAGGCTGCTGCTGATGAACCCGTTCTTTCATTCCCTGCCATCTACCTTAGTCTCACACCCCTGTTTAACGATGCTAAATAAATCTGGGCAGGAAAACCTGGGTGCCCTACACACTGTTCATTAAATTAAATTGAAATGTATCCTCCTTTGAAGGTACTTAACAGTGCAGTTGTACCTATCGGTCTTTCAGGAATCTACAGATGTTATTAATGCCTCAGTAGTAGGTGGTACTGGGAAAATCCGCTCTGCTAGCAGTCTTGGGTTCCATGTGCCCAAGGAGCTTACTGTAGATTGAAAAATAACATTGATAAATTACATGCCAGTTCCACATGATTTAATCTGAAGGGAGGTCAAGGAGCCCCAAGAAATGCTTTGTAAACCATAAGGATAKAAGAAAGCTTCTCTGCTATCAGGGTATGAAAATTGTGACTGTTCTGTCAAAGYGAAACTCAAAGACAAGCCAGAATTGTGTTCAATTGTTTTTAYACCCTGGCACTTCAGACTGACCTCACAGTGATTAGGTGAGTGAAGAATAACAAGAAAATGCTTGTTGGTACAGGTGAGCTACTAAAAGGTGATGCTACCATGTGCCCTGTTAAATGCTGATTGGATTTTCAGTGTAGATCCAAAGTTTGAGACATTTARGTGCTTTGGCTCCATGAAGTACTGAATATTAGTCAAACAACWTCCTGGTACTTCCTGATACATCCTGGTGGCTTTCCTGTATCGTTCAGCCCTTTCAAAACCCAGATTCCCTGGACTTGAGTGACTGTTGAGAAGAGCCAGTCGTGTCRGCTTCTGGTCCGAGTGAAAAGAGAAGTACAGTGGTACATCTGTCCTTCTTTCCCAACCGAACAGTTAAACCAGAGCATGAACTCTTTCCTCATGAGCAACCTACACTGTGTAACCTGCTAGTTCCTTCTTGAGTGTATCTTTACTGGGCTTGTAATTCAAGTCTCTGCAGTCTCTCCCTGCAWTGGGAGGTTGGTGAGCAGAAGGTGGAAAATCAAGGCACGTGTGGTAGGTGGTTTTCTACCTTTCTAGTCGCTGCAATACTGACAAATTSAGTTCTCAATATAGTAACCTATCTTAATAGTGCAAAATGACCCATGATGTTATCTGTGGCCTGGTTTCTAATTTCAGCTCAAGTCTTTTCCTTCCATTGATTTCATAAAGATTAGATGTTGCAGCTGAGAAATGACCTATTTAATGGCTTTGGAGGAGGAAAATTGCTCAACTTTAAACAATTCATAGCTCCCTGTGAGGAAGAACTTCCTTAGCTTACAGGAGAAAAGTAGAAGTTCCCAACCTCCTCAGAGCTGTCTGGTCTGCACTGCCATGACTGTGCTCACAGGGRTGCCAGGAAGGCACCCTTATGTGGAAAGGGCTGGAAATAAAAATGGCAGCTTTTAGTTAGGGAAGAGTGAGGACTAAGTGGCTACAAACCTAATTTTCTCAGTTAGGTACCTCACTACTTCAACAGGCCAGAGCCTGGATAGGAGCTGGGACCTGACCTGTTTTGAAGTAGCTTGGTTCTTTTTCTTCAATTTATCTATTTTTTTCTAGCTTTTTTCTGAGTTGGGGCATTTAGACTTCTAACACAATTGATATTTAACATTTGCTTGAATAACTTGCAAAGTAAAACGCTTTGACATTCCAAGCTTGAGTATCCTGGTAGACTATTCAAAAAAAAGCTGCTTCTTGCAACCTTTCTCCATCCCCTGGAGGGGTGTTCTGCTGTACTTGCCAAAATCAGTGTTAAAGGTGACTTTGCATTGATGCATTTAATGAGGAGCAATTAAACTGGCGCCCATGCAAAACTTAAAATATTGTTTCAGTAAATTATTAACAGTGCGGCCAGTTGAGTCCTGCCTAATGTGCTTGTCCTGGCATTAGATGTGTAGATGAGATACCATATGAGGGAGTACATTCCTAGAAAGTTTAGTTTTCATTAATAACAAAGAGTGGTGACTGTTCTGGCCATGCATGAGCAGCAGTTCTATTGCTGCATTCCTGCTCTGTTGATGTTACCATGTTTGCTGCTCAGACTTTTGGAGGATTCAGTAAACAGCAGTGTGGGACTGCTGCTCTGTGGCRCCAGTCTCAAACCTTGACAAGGGCAACATCAGTTCAAAGTTCACCGTAAGTGACACACAGAAACAAATGTTRATGTCTTCAGCAGGAAAACTTCACAAACTTCCAAGGAAACCTCAATAGTTCTTGTTTCTAAACAAATCTGTGTGTCTGCATCCTTAATCTTTGGACTGTATTTGTCTCTTCCTTGATAGTTGCTATTAGCTGTCACCTATTAAACTTTTAAAACATGCACATGGCTTATCTTAGGGCACCCAAACAGCTATGATACAAAAATGGCTCATTTTGCACCAAGACTGTTTGACAGGGGGATGTATAAATCAACTTGTTTGTTATTGACTGCTTCAGCACAAGGAATCTTAAGCAGACTTGAATGGCCAGTCCTTGTAAGGTTATTAGGTGTTCAGCAGCAGCCCTCCTGCCACTTGTCCTTTTGTACTTATGCCACCAGCACTGCATTTGGAAAAGTTTTATGTAACTGAGCTTAAATGCCTAAGGAGATGGAATGTTGGAAAGCCAACAGTGCGGAGCAGTTGAATTGGAAAGAGGTTTTTTGATTAGCTGCAAAACTCGAGTCTAGTCTGTCCCTGAGGTAAGTGTGGTGTTGGGGATGGCATTGCCAGAGCTGCCTGAAGTGCACTGGGGAGGGAGTGAGCAATCCTRTTCTTTGTGTTGGTGGAACAGCACCAACCTGTGACCTTTAAATACAGAGGTTGCTCTGGGGCTAATTCCAGGCACTGCAGTGACAGCTGGACARCCACAGTTTCCAGGCAAGCTGTAAAGCAGTGGAGACAGAGGAATAGTTCAGAGTGTGTTGGGARTAAGTGGGCTGATTGGTAAAGAATCTCTGTCACCTTTCATCAGAACGTTTTTGGCAGGAACGTGGCATAAAGTGAGTAAAATATAGAATGATTGTTGAACTCAATGTTTGCTCCTCTGTACCAGTCACTTTGAAGGCTTCTGTTCATTTTGGCTGGGTCTAATCTGACCAAGGTATTATCTTCCATCTTTTCAAAGAAAAAAAATCCCTTGGAATTCCTATGCTTTGTGAAAAGGTTAGGTACAACTCAAGCAGATGCAAGTGCCTTCTTGGTGCGTCAATCAATATGTCCTGAAACTGTTTCATGTTGTCTCTAAATAGCATGGTCATGCTTACTTGGCTTGTTTTGATAACATCTGGGTTTTATTGATAACATCTGGGTTTTAAAACTGTTGCGTGCTTGCAGTAGGCACCTGGGTAAGGATTAGTGAGTGGGTAGAAGAATGGCTGTGTCTAACCAGGAGTGCTTTGTGTCACAGCGGCGGCTGAGGGCCAGGGCGAAGAAGGCCATTGAGCAGATGCAGCTGCGCACCCTGAAGGAAGGGGACAAGGTAGGACTGACCCTGGATCTCCCCTGCATTACACAAAGCACAGCCTGTGCATAGATCTGTGCAGCTCCCTAGTACTGCAGCAGGATGCAGAAGTCTCTCTRAGCCTTTAACTAACTGTTGGCAACAGAAACAATTACTCCTTCAGACCAGGTCCTTTTCCAAGCTGCAAGACTTTCTCATAAATCAGTTCATTTTGCTGGCTGCTCACTTGTTGTCTTGCTGATGTGAGAGGCCCTAACTTGCTGGCATGCATGCTTAAACATAAACTGGTATATCTAATCAGCTTCCCTGGCTCTTCTTCTTGTAACTAAAACTGGAGGTAGCAGTTTCTAAACCTCTACAGTAGTGCCTCCAGTAATCCAATGATGATGGTTTCAGCTGGAATTCTAAACCATGGGTTTAAACTTTCAATGCTTCTTTTGAARTGTCAGCTTAACTGTGAGTAATCCACAGTGTGTTTATATGAGATTATTTTTGGGAGCATCATGGATGGCTTTAGCTAGACCCCTTTGTCTGCAGTAAATCTGACTGGAGTTMAGAGGAAGCTTTCAAAGTGTGTTAAAGCTGTAAATTTATTTCACTGTTTTAGGAAACTGGTCCAGATGGAGATTCCTGTGTTGTGTGCTTTGAGCAGTACAAGCCGAATGATGTAATGCGTGTTCTGACTTGCAAGTAAGTTGTCTTCCAAACTGCCCCTTTATCCAAAATTCTTCATGTTTTTTAACAAACTTATTGTTGCACAGTGAGAGTTCTTGAATATCTATCAGAACAGTGTTTTGAACAACAGAAACTGTGTGAATACACATTTGTAGTGTGCCCCAATGGCCTGTGTTCATAACTTGTCCTGTGAGTGGGTTGACACCCATAACTGGGCAGAGCACAGTGCCCCTCAAGGGGATGCCAGGGCTTTTTAAGGTTTGTTTCCTTTGCTGGTGTATAAGAATATTACCACTAACTTGAAGGTAATTAGCAAGATATTGCCTATTTCTTGTCTCTTGAATTCCTRCTTACTAACAGGGTTTTGTTTCTGCTAAATTTGTTAAACCATAGTGGCTCTTGTGATTTAGAAGAGAGCATTTCTATTCTCTGAAATTGAGACCAAAATAGAGCTATAGCAGTTAATTTTTCTAGAATTCTCTCTCCTGTTGTGTCTCACTGCTGTGCTGCTTTGGAAGCCCAGTAGTGAAGCATTAAGACTTTAACGTGATTGCTCCGAAGGTGAGCAGTGAAGCTGCTTCAGGGCTTAAGGAAACGTGTTCTGTGGGACTTCCCCCTGTGCCTGCTGACTGGGACTGCCCTGGCCAAACTCCTAAAATCAGAGGGCTGCCACATGAGCTGCCCAAAATGTGCMTAGGAAGGGGTGTCATAACCGTTAGGGAGGGTTACAAAAAGCACTTGAAAACATTTGGATGTAGGAAAATGAAGTTCTGAAGAGTAGAAAAAYGGGTAGCTGCTGTTTGTGTGCTGAGCAGTGCTGTCAGACACTGCCAGATCCCAGCTGAGTTACCTGTACACCAGGTTATAGTTTTGCAAAGGCTTTCTCTGCTCCCAAGCAGTAGGACCTCTAAGCTGTTTTGATAATACAAAGTTGGTCTGCTGAGGTGTTATCAACCAACTTCCTTGATCCAATCCTGAATGCTTCAGAAAAAAAACAAAACTGAATGACCTTTCAGGCATGTGTGTTAATGATTATTCAGTTGTCTTGTCACATTTATGCATGTGGTAGTTCTGCTTAGTAATGGACTAAGTGCCATGARTACAGAAACTTTTAGACAGGCTCCAGATACTTTTATCTGATAGGAGACCTGACTTCTTATTTTCCTATAAACCCTGCTAATCTTGGTATGAACTTGCAAACAAAGCAAGTTTGTTTGACTTATTTTGGTAAGAGTGGAGTAATTTCTTTTGAATGTTCTTTATACACAAATTTGCTGATTTGCTCTGAGACTGTTTTTACGCACATTTGTGGTGTTTCATTCCTCTGTGGTCYAAATGTCTCTCCCTGAGGCACGCTACCTTAAGAAGACTGCACAGATCTTGATAATCTTCTTGAGTGGTGATGTCTGCCAGTATCAACCATATTAAATTAAATCGTATTAAATTCACATGAGTTGCAAACTGATATTTGCTGCAAGAACATGCTTGATTTTGATGGTTCACCTCAGCACTAAGCCCCTACTTGCTRAAAGCATTTAACTGTATCTATGAAAGAGCCAAGCAAAGGAATGTTCCTGTGAGTCACTTTGGTGGTATCTGAGTCCCTGGGGTGTGGGTATTTGCTGAGGGCATTCTTGTCCAGAGAGTCAAACCAAAGGCATTTATGGTGGCAGAGGTTCACAAGTCCAGTATTAAGTTCAGTGACCTAAAGTAGTCCAGCATCAAGGAAGTTTCGAGTTTTATTCTGAACATGACGTTGGTGCAGCTGGGAAGGAAGTGCCGATTATGTGAGCTGAATTGGGAAAATCCTTGGATTCTACTGGAGTGTAGGCTGCTGAGCACTGGATGTGGTGATCTCTGCATTTATYTCATAATAGAGTTGATTAATACTGAGCGGTGCCTGTTTGCCTTGTGGTTTCTATTCAGGCTGAGGGAGCMGGCAGATTACAGGATTTCAAGTCATCCTCCTAAATCTGTGGCCTAATTTAAACCCATTGTGGAACTGAGTGTCTTAATAGAAGCACACATTTGCATCTGTGATGGCTGAGCTATATTTACTTWGAGTGTATATAGCCTGCCAAATATACACTTGGAATACACAGACACAGAAAATGGGTGGGAGTAGTTTATCTTGAGGACATAACTCTGTGAGATGATTTGTCTATGTAGTTATAACAGAAACAAATACTGTTTAGTCCTCTGCATCTGCACAACAGAAGTTAACCTTAAAGCTAAKACTGAGATGTCCATAATTGTACCATTTAAATTATCAGCTGGGAATGTACTGTACATAGGTTTGGAAAAAGCTTTAGACTGGTGTAGCAAAAATGATAGTGCTTAATTCTAGCAAGTTGTATYGAGATACTAATAAGCACAAACCAGCTACAGATTGAAAGATTAACTATCTGTAACTTTCAGCTGAAACCCTGTGACAAAATAAGGTCATCCATTCTAGAAGGAATAAGTTTTCAGKGTTACAAAAGGGTTTTTCATAGCTGGMACATAAGCAATCTTCCTGGTATGAAACCTAACCTGTTGGCTACCTTCTTCCACCAGCCATGTCTTCCACAAGACCTGTATTGACCCCTGGCTTCTGGAGCAYGGGACGTGTCCTCTGTGCAAATGTGACATCCTCAAAGTGTTGGGAGTTGAGGTAAGCCAGCAGCCTGTGGTGGTGGCAGCTGCCACTYGCAGCCTCACACTGGTGTAGTGTCCACATCTTAAGCTGTTTCCTGCTGCCCCTAGAGTGCAGGTGATAAACACACGTGTTGTCATCTGCGACCAGATGCTGCAGGAATAATTGCTCTGTCCCTATTTGGGAAGCCTGCAGCTGACCTGGTGTGAGTTGGTATCACCTACAGCCTTGGGCAGAATGTCAGCCAAAGCTGACTCATGCCTGACAGGAAGAACACTCTTAACTCTTGTGCTTGCAGCTAAGGGTGTTTCCCAAATCCTCAGGCAGGCTTTGACAGCTCATACTGTCTCTGAAACCAGCTTCTGTTCAGTTGCTCGGTACCTGGAGTCCTAGAAAAGTGAAGGTGTTAGTGTGTATGACATTTCTGGAACTGCCTGATTTCCTAGGACACATCAGGAATTTCTGATGTATTCTGTAATTGCTCATTGTTGCAAGTGCCAGAGGAAGATGCTTTTCCCAGTGCCTGATGCTGCCTGGACCAGCCAAAATGTAAGCCAGAGTTTGCCTGGGGGAGGTGGAGCTGCACTGAGTGGAAGGAAGACCCTCTTTTTCTGGTACTGGGCAAACAATACAGAAGCTGTGTTTGAACTGCCCACCCAATTAGGCAGTCACTGGAGGTTAACAGCACAGCKTTTATTCCATTTCTTGTTTTTTCCTCTGCATAAAAGTGCTCTGGACTCAGTGTGGGCATTGCTCTCCTGGAAAGATGCAGTCTCCTGCSAAATTGTAATTTAACCATTTTCTCTTTTTTTCACAAAGATGGATGTAGAACCACGGTCTGAGCCTGTGCAAGCCCCAGGATCCAGTGGCCAGAGACCTCTATCCACTGTCACAATAGTCAATGAAGAGGACAATCTTAGTGAAACAGCATCATCTGGATACGATTCTGTACAGGGACCAGATGAATCTGCTCAGGAGGCACACGCACCATCAGCACCATCAGCACCATCAGCACCACCAGCACCATCAGAAAGTATGACTGCTTTTTCATCTGCCTTGCTCGATTGCCTTGCACTTGGCTGCTTAGGCTGTGAATTGTGGGGGCGGGGAGGGCCTTAAAGGCATCTCACAGGGCTTGAATASTTTGTTTTTCAGGGTTATCTTAGTGTTTTGCTTTAGCCCTTAGCTCTGACACTTGGTCTTTGTTTTTAAATGAAACACAACCTTAATGTGAATTAAAAGCCAAAGTMTGTGAAAGAGTAGTTCAAAGTCAAGAGGCTTACTACTTCAAGAGCAAAGGGATTTTTCCAAAGATGTTCCTTATCTCTTTGTCTCTTTGGAGATTTCATTTGGATGAGTGAGTGTTGCTTTGCCACCAGATCTGTCTGCTTTAAGTAGCTGCTTACTTTCAGAAAACTTTCAGGGAGTCAGTCTTGCTCTAGCTTAGATGGTATAATAGAGAGAAGACAGTGCAATTGAATTTCAGGKTTGATAAGGCTGAGTCSTGCTTGAACACTTTAAGAGACTGTWAATTTGGAAAGACTATCAGCTTTTCCAAATACTTTGTCTTCTTGAACGAGAGCAAACTCATTGAAAATGTCTTTTCCATTCTCAGCTTTGCCAACATGTGCTCAKTGTTGCTGTTGGCTTTAAAAATGGAAAGGCTGCAGGTAAACAATGAGTAGCTATTCCSTGGATTGTGCCATGGTCTTAGGAAGGGGAGGAAGTGGGGAAGKTTTTGGTGATGAAAAGGATGCTCTATTTCCCATGGGAAGTGTAACTGATAGGAAAATTTGGGATTTTCTGTCAGCCTCCTGTAGAACATGTTGCTACAGCAARTGATGTGTGTTTGAGAGTGCCCTGTTGAAGCACCCCAGTAGGGGAGAGGGCATTTCCCAGGAGCTAAACATCAGAAGTTGAAATTGCATCCCCCTRAGCAACTCAAGGCTTGCTGGATTAGTTACAGGTGTCACTCCCATGTATTCTCAMTTGGTGTGGGAAGGGCACACAGGGACATGAGCCACACAGGGTCAGTCTGTAGGGAGAAGGCCTTCCTCTCCAAATCAGCATGGCCCCCACAGTTTTCCTGAACCTGCTCTCTAGGAGYTGCCCTTGATGCCTGCCTTCAGCAGCCTGAAGATACAAGACTTGCCCATCTCTTCCTAGCTGGATTTTGTAGCCTTATGGGGCCTTGTGTGGCTTCAGCTTGCACCTTCAGCTTTCTCAGCCCTACTGAGCTGAGCAGGTGTCTTTAGACAGGACAGGCAGTGTCAGGAATGGGCTCCCAAACTAAGGAGGGGCAGCAGGAGAGAGGCAGCTGGAGCATGATCTTGGATTTCCATCTCTGCAGGAAAAGTGCAGTGAGCTTGTCAAAATCAGTGWGTGTGGCTTGTTTTAAGGTGCTAAAACTGAGCTGTGACACTTCTTAACTTGTCTTGACTTGGTTTTCTTCTGGACAGATGACAACACACATCCTGTAAGTGAAGAATCCCAGCCCACCACGATGACTGTCCTTTCACAAGGTGACAACCCAGGTTTTGAGGGAGATGAAACAGAAGTCTCTGAAGGCAGGACCGTTTGTGAAGTCACACTCTAAGAACGTGCCCAGCCACATGGTGCAAGCCTTCTGCAAGGAGCTGCCTACTGCCATTCCGTATAAACCAAAAAATGCAAGACTGCTGCAGAAAATACTGCATTGGCAATATTCATATAAACAGACTTGTCCAAATCATAATTGTATGGTTTGCCTTTCTTAAAACTGTTTTTCCCACAGGAGTTTTAACATTCTCCMGATAAAGCTGTCTTAAATACAAAGAAAACCAGCAGATTTTAACACTAAAACAGAAGTTCCATCTTCAGCAAAGCTTCTCTACAATGTTTCAGTTGTKTAAATGAGAAGATTTTTTACATCATWTTTGTCTCTACTGGGAATCGTTTTGAGTTGGGTTTTTTGGTTGTTTATTGTTTTCATTCAAGTGGATTTTCATTGTAAACAAATTTATTTTGATCTGTTCTAATACTTAYTTACGAGACACAGTTTTGTTTAAAGCAAGGGTATTTAATGTTTCAGTGCACTAATTTGATAGGAGGAAGTGCAAACTAATGCTTGTCAAAACTGGATTTTGTCCACAGTGTCCTTGGTTCTCTAGTAACCRACTGATTCTCTACCTCTCAACTCCAACCTGCCAACCACACATTCCTAAAGGGGGAAAAAAGAGAGCTGCCACTGACAGGCCAAATCTGACTTGCACAGTACTGTAAAGGGAACAACTGCAGGAACTTTTCAAACCTTGTYAATCTGAAAGATCCTCAAGTGATTTGGGGAATTATAACCGTGTCTAGCACCAGCAATATGCCAGAGTCCTGGTTTTGTGGGAGTCTGGGATGACTTCAGGGAAGACTCAGCTGAAGATGAAAATGAGAGATTCTTACAAAAGGATCTGCTGTGTTTTGTTCAGAAAATGATCCAGCCTCTGAAAAATGTGGGACTGTTGCTGTACATTGTCTTGTTTGAGTGCACGAGCTGCAGGGAGAGCTGATGTCCTGTGAGTGTAACAGAGGGTTGGAGAAACTRTCTGTCCTCTGTGGGGTTGAGATGGGGTCAAGAAGGAACACTGGGTGCCTCAATYGTAAGTGACTTGGCCTTGTCCAGCAAAGGTAACTAAGGACATCTTATAAATGCACTTTATTTTTTTACCTCTGCGTCTCTGACTAGTTTCTAATGTTTAGTAGGACTTTGTCTGAAAGCACGCAATAAATAACTTAAGAATCTGGGGGGGRAACCAATGCATTTTCTTAGCTATAGTACAAATGAAATGGTTGTAAATATTTCATAATTTGTATTGAATTTGAATATGTAAATGTAAATAAAACTCTATTTTTGATGATCCTGACTGACACAAAATATTACCAGCTCTCACAGAAGCAGACGCTGAATTTGCCCTGTCCTGCAACCTTGAAACTCATTCTGCTTTGGGAGGCAAAAAAGCAACAGTGTTCGCTCAAAGTAATTGGAATAAGGAGTGCTAATTATGTGCAGGATGCTACTGTTATGCTAATTTTTAGAAATACTTAGAATTTTTATATTTAATGTGACCTRCTGCTAAAGGAACAGATGCAGGGTAAGTACCTGTGCAGTATTTGAGCTACTGCTAGGCAGAACTTAAAGGTTTTCTGKTTTTGCTGCTTAACTTGAAAGTCTGCCATCTTCTTATCTGTGCAGATTTGTTTGTAACCAGTAGCTGTGCAAGGGATTTGGTTTRAAAATGAAAGTGTAAATTTCATGAACACCATCTGTGATACTAAACTTGGGTCTGTTGTTGTCAGACTGCCTTAAAGAAATTTCCAAGTYCCACTCCCACTTTGTGTATTTCCAAGTTTCCATGGATAACAGATGTCTTTAACCAACCCTACTTGGGGGACTGAACAGCAGAATTTTCACTTGTTTTTGGTGATGCCACAGGCTCGAATGTCTCTGGGTCACATCTACATGTGTGTGTGTATATATAAATGGTGTGTGTGCTGTGGCATGACAGACTTTCCTGTAAGCATGGAGGCCAACAGGAATGTGCCTGGGGATAGGGTTGTTCCTGAAAAGCAGTAAAAWCCTGCTGTTATTGTGCAATAGTTTGGGGGTTTTCTATAGATACACTAATGCTCATGTGTGAGATAACAGAAATGAGGAGGCCACAAATGGTGCAGCTGCTAAAATGTCTGCATTATTGACTGTTGATATTCCTGTTGAGTCACACAGACATGTCAATTCTTCTGTCCCAAAGAGCAAACTGAACAGGCTCCAGCATCACGGCCCAGTGTTTACTCACTCCCTCAGGGAAAGGGAGGGAGTCACCCTTCTCCCTCAGGAACACTCTGATCTAGACACTTCAGTCAAATACTTGTGTGCTCTTGAAGAGGGACTGGGAAAGTTTTTTTATTCCTGCAGGAGCGGAAGCCTTGTTGCCTGGTGCTGGATTACTGTGCTCTCTTGTAAATCAGGCTTTACAATAGCAGGACCTCATTTTAAATTCCAAATCAAAATATTACCATTTTCTCATCTTGAGGAAAATTTTCAGGTGTCCCTATATTAATGTAATTTCAGCTGAGAATTTTGTTTAAAGGAAAAAGCAAGACTTGTGACGAGGGACTGGAAATACATAAAGGCAGTTTGAATCACAAGGGCAGTTGGACTCCTGCCATCAAATGGAGAGACTTAGTCCATCTTCTCTTTAGAGGGAAAATTCTGCACTTCTCAAGTGACCTAACAGTTGGACATAATAAACACAGACACCTACCTTGCCTGTGTGATTTAATGTAATTTCTTTCCATGTTTAACACACCARCACAGAAGGTAGCCCTGCCTTTTCACTCAGGTTTAGACTGATGCCTTTTCTGTGCAGATTTGAATGGGGCTCCTCTCTTGAAGGGGTGTAATATCTGCAGTTTGGAAGAGATCAAAGAAAACCTACTGGCTTCAGCAATTAATTTTGGTTTCAAGAGAAAATTGAAATCAAATTGTAGCATTCATGCCCTGTGAATTAAAAATTACATAATACTCCTAAAGCAAATCTGCACTGGTTGTTCAACTGTTGGTTATACAGAGTGAAGCCAAAATTTATTTATATAGCTATTTATGTAATATTGCTGTGGTTATTTGAGGGAAGTAATTTACAATTTCTAGGATAAGTCTTGAATAAGTGAAAGAAAAATCCTGCTGCACTAAATGGATCTGTTGCTGTAGAATGCATTGATTACACTGTAGCATGATTGTGCACTGATTAAGAAGGTTTTGAAGTGGCTATAAATAAATTTCTCCAAGCTGATAGAGGAGCACTCTTTGCATCTTAATACTCTTTGATTAAGAATCCAGTGCCTGAGGGAAATAGAAAAAAAAAAGACATTCAAGACCTTGAAATAAGGAGAGAAAAACAAAACATTTTCCAAGCAGTAGCATTTTACTGTTAAATATTTATCCAATTAACAAAGTTTGAATGTTACATAAGCAAGCACCACATGTCCTAACGTGTCCAGTGTGTGTGAGTCACTGAAAGGCAAACTCTGGGTAGGAAATGCCCAGGGCATCTTCCTTAAAATTAGCATCAGAATTGGAAGWTCTGTGTTAGGTCCTTACATTCCTGTATCCAGGGGCTTGTCTAATTGGGGAAAATTAAATAGTAAGCAGTGTCTCTGGGAATGCTCTTAGAGGAGCAGGATCCATGCAGGAACCACTCAGTCAGTTCAGCTGGTAAATGCCCAGCAATATCTGTTATTTGTGGCTTCAGGTGGGGGACTGAAGAAACTGCCTCACCAAGAGCTGTGTGCCAGGGTACCTGGGACTCTCATTGATATGTGATCTGTGTAAGTTACCACGTGCTGGCTAATGATTTTTATTTTATTTTTCCTTTCTAGTAAAGGTAGAYCACCAAAAATTTGTTGCTTCCTCTTCTGTTATAAGAAACAAGAATTTTATTAAATTTATATCCAGTCCTCAAAAGCATAGCTCTTCAGTACTACAGGTTCTCTTGCAGTGGTGTAATGAGTGATTGAAAGAAAAGGAAAAAAAGTCTTATGCCAGTGCAATTCACCCAGTTTTGGAGTTTCCTGTGAATCAAATGTAACTGCACACTTGGGTCTGCTCTCACAGCGGTCCTTTGGGTAGGTGGCTGCTTATGCAGCTGGAACTGAACGGGCATTGCCAAATAATTTCTGTGACTGCTTGGCAAAACCTTGCTTTGCCTGTGCTCACAAATAGATCAGTGCTGGCAGCAGCATTTTTGGTAGTGAAGTACTATTGAAAAGCCTGAAGGAAGGCAGGATAAAGCAAAAAYGCCAAGGTTGCAATGTATAGTTAGTGCATAATATGCGGGTTTTTTTTTAGAAAGAGCTCTAAGTAGAGGCTGAGTTTAAACAACTTGTGTGTTGTGACACACAATCAATAAAGCATTATCCTTGAAAATCTTAGGAAGGTTAATTTTGCTGGAAAAAGTGCAGAGTGAGGTACACAGAAGTTCCTGGGAAAGAGCCACTGACTCCATTTGTAGTAAATGACATTTTGTGTAGGGAACAGGAGGGAATCTTGCATGGAGGTGGGAAAAGATGGTAACTCTGAACACCTCGGCACCAGAGACAGGAGCASATGAGGCACTGGGTCCTCCAGCCCTCTGAAGCTTTTATTTGTCCTTTTTATGAGCCTTCTCTCTGCACCTCAACCCCCGCCTGCAGTGCCAGGCGGAGCGCTGACTGGGAAACACACCCGGGAAACAAACRCCTTCTCTGGTGTCCTGCGGGCTGMAAATGGAGCCGGCTTTGGCCACAACTAAAAACGGGACTTGTGCCATGGGCAGAGCGGCCACAGCAGCCTCCGCTCCACCTGGGGCAGGGGACTTGCCGGAGGACACAGAGCCGGGACCTCCGACCCC